GTCTCTACAGTTGGTTTATTTGCTTCTGATAGTTCAATAGATTGTTCCCTAACCTCAGCAGTCTTCTTTGTTCTCCATTCTTAGATCACCTTTACCACTGGTTGTGGTCCTGTTTGTGGAGCCGGCTATGCATTGTCATTTGGTCTCCTTCTCCTTCTAAGCTGCTCAAATTGGTGTTGCTCTGCCTTAATTTGCTTGCAAGAGTGGCCAATTTTTAAATATACTTCACAAAATTCTGGTTTCCAGTCATACTCTATCACCTGATCAAACTGTCTCCCATCAGGTTCCCACACAGTGACACTAGAGGAAAGTGGACGAGTAACATTGATTTCAATTAGCATACGTGCATAGGAGATTCTCTTTTGCTTGGAAGTGCATTCATCTGCATACAAAGGTTTTCCTATTGCACTTGCAATTGTGCTCAGTGATTGAGCCCCCAACAATTCATAGGAAGGTTTGATAACACCACCCACAGAGAAATTTCAGTGAGGAATTCCTTTATAAAGTCAAAATTCACAGTCCATGGTTTCAGGATAAGAGGCTTGTTATTAACTGTATAGGGACCGGAATAGAGGACTTCATGCATATCATATATGGACTGGAATTTGATTACATAGTAGCCTTCTTCATGGTAAAACACCACTGGCTCTGCAACTTTATTCCAGCTCTACTTTACAAATCTATGCATATAGTTATATCCCGGAGTTTCCCCAATTACTTACACAATTAAAGCACATCTCCATCTCAGAATTTCCCTATCAACATCCTCTTTTTCTAGTTGCACACCATTTTTTCATCAACAATTTTAGGGGGAATGTAAGACAACCTTAACCCATTCTCAGAGCTACAATTACCTGCAAATAGCAAGGTCCGTATTTCTGTTGTCCCTTTCTTCTCAATTACTGGTTATACATCTGGTATAGATTTGCTTGTACTCGCTAGATCTTCAAATTTCCTAGTTGATTTGTCTTTTTGGCTGCTTAATGTAGGACTAATACTCAGATCCAACCTCTTAGCAGACCGTTGTATCATCACTTCACTTTCATGTTGTTTCATCCCTGCATCATCCAATGGAACAAGAGATTTTACTATTTCAGTTGTTGGTGTTTTCTCTAGTTGCATGAGAGCTTCAACTGGTTTATTGATACCAGCTAAAGGTTGCAACCTAGGTCTTCCGCGAGCTCGTCCTCTCCCTCGAGCCATAACCATGGTGGGCGTACGTCTGACTAACGTACGCTGAAGGCATGTTATTTCTACTAAAGCATGGGGTGAATAACCTAAAAAAAGGTATAGATAATCTGCTACAACTACAATACCTTAAACTGCATTGCACTTCATAATGTTCTTTAAAATGTAGGTTGACATTGAATTTTTGTTAATTCAACAATTGTGCCTATGAGATTCTAATAAGAAATGGGGGTGAAATTCAAAAATAGCCAGATTTACAACGATCGTTCAAAAATAGCCCAGTTTCAAAAGTAATCGAAATTTAGCCACTTTTCATGTAAAGATAAATCTGAGTGAAAACACTATTCAAAAACCGGAAAATACGCCAGTATATTATGCTGGAGTTCCAGCATAAGTATACTTGAACTCCAACATATTATACTGGAGTTCCAGGATAAGTATGTTGGAACTCCAGCATAATATGATTGAGTTCCAGCATAAGTACACGAGAACTCCAGCATAATATACTGGAGTTCCATCAAGTATACTGGTCCAGCATAATATACTGGAGTTTGGAGCACCGGTGCTCCAGTCTCCAATATATTATACTAGAGTCAGCAAAGTTACTAGTCCAGCTTAATATGCTGGAGTTGATACACAGGTGTACCGAACTCCAGTATATTATGCTGAACCGGTCTCTATTGCAGCAAAGTAGTGGCTATTTTTCATTGACTTGGTAAAAGCTGGCTATTTTTGAATGACCAATCCGAAAACTGCTATACCGTGTTATTTTTTACAAGAAATGGCGACTACAGAACCGAGTTAATACTAAAAAACTTATGCATATTTAATACGTTAATTTTTTTTCATTGTTAGTGAATTCCAACCTATAATAACAAGTCATCTATTAATATTGGGAAAACTACCCTCTATAGCTCCTGAAAATTTTAATAGCCCATATTTTGTCCTACTTACAAAAAATGGCCCTTCAGCCCAAAAGTATTGCATATAGTAGCCGAAAGGAATGAGTATGACAACATAAGCACCTGTAGCTTAGTGGATAGAGCGCCTGTTTCCTAAGCTGAAGGTCGTAGGTTCGACCCCTGCCTGGCGCAATGTATAAATATTTATTTTGCAATGTATAAATATTGTATCCTAGTACGACAGTGTATCCTTGGTGTATATTGAGCCTATCTCGAGTGTGCTTGTGTATCTAAAGTGTATATATTTGTGTACCCCAAATGTATTTTGTATCGTGAATGTATAATCTGTTTGAACAATGTATCAAAATTGTATATAATGTGTATTTTCTAATATGTAAACATAGTGTATATAAATTATATACAATTTTGTATGTGTAATGTGTGCACACTGTGTATTTGGAGTGTATCATGTATTTTTGTATAGTGACAGTCTTTTTTGTACATATTTTGTATAGTTTCATCTATTTTGTATATATTTTGTATAGTTACATTTATTTTGTATATTTTTGGTATAGTGACAGTTTATTTTATACTATATTTTTTGTATAGTGACAGTCTATTTGTATATTTTTTGTATAGTGACAGTCTATTTTGTATATTTTTTGTATAGTGACAATCTATTTGTATATTTTTTGTATAGTGACAGTCTATTTTGTATATTTTTTGTATAGTGACAGTCTATTTGTATATTTTTTGTATAGTGACAGTCTATTTTGTATATTTTTTGTATAGTGACAGTCTATCTTGTATCTTTTTTGTATTTTGTATAGTGACAAATTTTGTATGAATTTTGTATAGTGACAAATTTTGTATATATTTTGTATAGTGACAGATTTTCTTTCCAATATTCAAAAAAAAAAAATTGCTCTCCGGTCTAATACAATCTAAAAATTTAATACATGGTCTATCTCTACATTGGACAAAATAACACAATTGAGAATGATTTTCTATTAATGGATTCAAAAACATAAAAAGGTAAATAAATAGGAAGAAGGAGAGAAGGAAAGCCATCAGATTGAACCCAAGTAGAAACCCAACGACTTGCACCTTTGTAAAAACATAAAAGGGACGCTTTATCTTGGATGGAAGAACCGAACTTTATCGTGAAATTGAAATCAAAACCCAGTCAGTCTAACCCATTGTGCTCGATCTCGTTGATTTTAGATCTGGACGAAAACTCAAACACCGACGACCCTCCATTAAATCTGGCGACTCTTTCTTCTTGTTTTAGTTACTGTTTCGGGGATTTTGATATTATAAAAATCTAGATCTGAAAGATGGTTTGCTTGCTAATTTGAATTTCGGCAGATCTGGTCGGTATATAGCTTTTCCAACGACCGTGAAGTTTTCCGGCTAAACCATTTCGGGCCGGAAATTATTTCTCCAGTGAACCTGTGTTTGTTTGTGTATTGTTGTTACTATGAACTTGTTATGCTGGAGGTTATGGGATACCTTGAATATTACTTTTGCCGGAATCTAACCCACTAACGATAAATAGGGCCCGACTCTGCCGCCTATATTTCTACAAGAAAAGAGAGGAAAATCTACATTATGATTAATTGAAAATTGAGAAAGTAAGAATTGGAGTTGTGAAAAGGAAGCTACTTTTCTCAAAGGAAAGAAAAGATTTGATTGCTGAGCTGACAAACTGAAGCTGGAATTTGTTGGAGAAAAGGGTTTCCCATTGGAGTTGTAGGCTAGGGACAAACCTAGGGCCATTGATGAAGAGCTTTGAAGGCATGTGGTGCAGATACATAGTTCGATGGCTAACCACTAGAATTATTTTTGGGCTATAAAATGCATATTGAAATTTTGGGCTACCGGATGCTATTTGTTTTGCCCGATGGACTATAAATGAAGTTCTCTCATTAATATTCAGTGCATAAATATTAAGGTCTTTCTATTTTGGCTTCTTTTGTTCTTTCGTATCAATAACAATATATCCAGCCTAATCTCATAAGTGGGGCCTGGAAAGAATAGTGTGTACGCAAATATCTCTTAACCATTTCCGATAGATCATTGAATCAAGAAAAACAAAATCACAACAGCTTTAAAAAAGAAATACGGAAATAGAATTTGTTCTTTCGTATCACTAGGAGAAAGAGGAATTCTCTTTTTGTGCAATCAAAACTGTTGGTAAATATCCACTAAAATATCCAATGATGCAATAAATAAAAATTGCCTAAGTTTTAAGACAAGAAGTTAGAAACGTAATGATAATGTGATTAAAGAGTCAATGTCAGGCACGATGGGCCATGTGAAAGGAAGTAAAGCATATTCCGATCTTCAGAATATATATATCTCAGCTACTATTACTTGTTGAGTGCCTCCATAAATATCCTGGATTTTATGAGTTAGATATTATTCCTCTTTTTAACATAGATATTTTTGCCTCCGTCTTAATTTCTTTAGGTCTCGGTTGGTACTAGGGATAAAAGATAATTAATTTTGGGATTAAATTTGAGATGAGTTTATCCCATATTTAGTTAGATAGTAATATAACTAATCCCAAAATTAGTTATCCCGTGATTGTAGTGTTTTTCTTATCCCTATGGGAGGGTGAAATAACTAATTTCTAAATAATTAATCCTGAGATAACTTATTTCCAACCAAACCACCCCTTAGCAATATGGATATGTGAAAATAAAGAAGACCACCACAGGCATAAGATTTGAACTATACAGTAGAAATTGCAGATCCAATCAGAGAGACAAATAATTTGATTTAATTGTTGTTTTAATCCAAATATTAATTATCTCATCAATCAGAACAGGAGAAATCATTTACCAACAATATATTTGTTAGGAAAAAACGATTAAAAAAATAAAAGGATCTTAGTTCACAACACTATAATTGAAGTAGTCTTAGCAAACTGATAATTCCCCATTAATATAATCTGATAGAAATCAAGGAATGTATCTGTTACAGTGTATGTACATTAAACATTTACCACTACATAATAATCAGATTAGTAAAGCCGAAATTAGAGAAGAATAAAAAAACACAAAATTATGTAAAAAATTAAAGCTTATTGTTTATTCTCTTTTTGTACAAAGGAAATTTGCCGGATCTTGTCAGTGAGGAGGAGGACAAGCAATTGGACTCATAAAATCTGTTCTCCTTTTTGGTCCTCTTCTATTGTATCTTCCAAATCTATCCGACCTGCAATAATGCAATAAGCAAGGCAGAATGACTACGTGTATTTGTATTTGTACACGATGAGACATGAATATACCACTATTCCTGATACGTAGACCACTTTGCAAGGTAAAAATTACTACTTAGTGAAAAAGGTGTCGGGTGATTATCATCACTTAGTCTAACTAAAAATGTTGCATTTACAGTTCAAGCTTGATAAAAAAAAAAAAGAAAAAAAAAGGGCAGCTAGGTGCACTAAGCTCCTGCGCCCACAAGGGTCTATTGTACGCAGCCTTATCCTGCATTGCTGCAAGAGACTGTTGAGCATCAAGATCAACCTAAACGAAGATATGATAGTACCCTTCTATTTGTTCCTCAGAGATATTCCTCAAAATTAGTCCTTAACCTTTTGTTTGCTTACAAAATGAAACTATCTAGATCAAAAACCTTTCAGGTAGAAAACTTGGGTTTAACAGATGCTTGTAATGGTTCAGATCTCATCCAATGTTATGAAAATCATGATATGCAAGAAAATTTATCATACCAAATAAGGACACCAATGAGGGAGGCTTTGAATGTCCATTTGAACTCATATCTATACCTGCATAATTAAGATGTGTCTATGAAAATTCGAGGCAAATAAATAAGAGTTACAGAAAAGTTTTGCATTTCTGACAAAAAGCATTTAGATAAAATGCTGACACCAACTTACACCTGAAAGACCAGGCACGAAAAGTTTGACTATCTTCTAGCACAAATTGTCCATAACTTAAGCTCTTCTATCACATGTTCGAGCTGATACCAATACTAAAGACATTTCAGATTTGCAGGGAGGGGCGGGGGCAAGACTGCCATTGGATTCCTAAGTTACTAACCACTAATACACCGTCCCTATAACTTCACTTCTTTCAGTACTTGGTGAACAATTAATTCTCAGTTAACTGCTGGCTAGTTGTTTCACTACCTTTGTACGGGGGTATATCCATTCTTATTTACTGATTAGTGCTGGATCGTAGTAATGAATGATCGACTTGCCTTTTTGACCCAGAAAAAAAAGTGAACAGATAAATATCAGTTAACTACTCACCGTGTCATATCCATTTCAATAATGACGTTGGGAATTATTTTGCCAAAATATGCCATGGCCAAAAGAGCAACAAATGATCAATCTATTTTTTGCTCATTCTAAGCTTTGTATGCGCCAGTTATTGATATTGCTAATACCATATCATGAGAACCTTTCCTTTCTTATGAAGGGATGTCCGTTAGTATTCCATGCTTTCCTATGTCTAATTCAAGTTCCCCTTCCAAGAGCCCTTTCCCACAGATCCGCAACAGAGCATCACGTCCTAGCATACAGATACCTAATTGTTCTTGCCCAAGCTAGCAATAATTTGGAAGGCTGGGGAAGCATACTGCACCAACATCTGCTTCTATAAACTTAATCTTCTTAGATACAGTGTGAGCCAGGAAAAAAGAAGTGTATGCTAAGTGTATTTCTTCATCGTATTAAAGTAAATTCAAACCCCTTATGTACTACAGAAAGATGGTGTATATGCAGTGATAATATGCAGAGATGATGCAGCCAAAAAATTAAAGATTTAAAGCAGCAGCACACCTGAAGCTTCAGCTGATTTGAGGATATCCGATTTCTTGAAAGTAAATCCAATGAAATTGGAATCTTTTGATGTCAGCATCTACATGATGGAATCAATCAAAATATATCACTTATCTTTACATAAGGAACCATATAAATAGGATCTCCTATGTATGGCATTGGGAAATAAATGGGGAACCAAAACACTGGAAGAGGATATAATTAAGAAAAATACTTGCTAAAATTGCAAACAGGAGAACCCCCAGAAATTATTTACTCCCACCTACAGGATGCACTATACAACAGGAACTTGGACATTCACATCAACTATATTCTCACGGAAGAAAACTTCCACATATTGAAATGCATCACATCCACTACAGCAATCATATTGTAACTTCTTGTTTTATTTTCTCGCCTGAATGTTCTATTTTTCAAGAGATCGGGAGTTTGGGGGAGATGAAGTATGCATTGCCAACAAGTAATCATTACCTTCCTCCAAGGTCCAACTCTTGGTGCTGTTGATGAAGGATCTTCTACCTACAAAGTGAAAAAGTTAGTACAGTCATAGAACAAAGCAAGCATGTTTTTTAACATAAAAGTGAAGCAATGTTTAAAGAAAAACATGGAAATATTGAGATGAGGAAAATTGGAGAATTACTGCAGATGAATAAAAAGAACAAATGGTAGACTGAATTGAAATGAAAATGCATGCTTTGATAAATAAGCCGAAAGGAGTCTATAGATATTCAATGGTACTGAGAAATGCCAAAATTCTAAGGACCTAGTTCATAAGTGACATCAAATTGTCATACTGAAGTTACTAATGAAAGAGAGGTGGAGAGCATGTCCATGATATGTGGTAAATGTAGAGAAAATAGAGATACTCCAAAGGTGAAAGATAAAGATAGGAAGATTATATCCAGCTTATATATGGCGTTCTGGTTCAAAAGGGTAAACAGTTGGTTTCTAGCAGTACACAATGTCACGAGAGTTAGAGTGATTTTACTAACTACTACTCCAGATGTTTCCTACAAAAGTCAAATTAGTACAACTAGTGATCTATAAAAGTACTCACCTCAGGAAACTTCTCAAAATTTTGAGTATCTAACTCTCCGGTAACGATAGGTTTATAGGCAGCCTCCATTTCATAAAGTATGTCCCAATTGACTCCTTTGAACCAGGGATGAGCCTGAAACCAGACACAAGTTTTAGTAGTAAGCAGACACAAACATGGAGCCAAGCATAACCACTCACCATACTCATAACAGATATTTCACACAAAGTACACTAATCTCATCAATGATATAGGAAAACAACTGTATGCAATCCGTTAACAACAACATACCCAGTGAAATCTCATAAGTGGTCTGGGGAGGGTAATGTGTACGCAGACCTTACCCCTTACCCCTATCTTAGGGAGGTACGCAATCCGTTTAAGTGAAACAAAAATACTAGACTTAAGGGGCATATTTTTCGGCGGGCTTTACTTCATTCCTTTAGTAGTGTTACGTACCTTTATTTCTTCCACTCCCCCGGTCCCCAATCTTGATTCAACATCACACAATAAACGACAGATCAGATCCTTAGCCTCATCTGATACTTTTGGTTCTTCTGGGAATTTAAGGCATGTTCTCCAACTGATTATCTGATACAACAAAAACAAATATGAAATACCCCGTCAAAATGAATATACTTTGTGAAACCTAAAAAGATGCTGTAGCGCAAAATTTGGAAACAATCATTTTGCAGAAAATGAAGTCCAATTAGTATCAGAAAATAAGCATTTCATTTTCAATCTTTTCCGATTGCATTGAAAAAGGATTTTTTTGGAATCTTGGTTTACAGAGTTCTGTCTGAATCCAGTTTGGAGATCATTCTAGAGGCCCCCCGCTGTCTCTTATTTTCATCATAACAACAAATAGAAGAGTTACCTTGCGTGCCGTCATTCTTGGATGCTCTGAACAGAAGGGAGGATACCCAACAACCATCTCAAACAGGATTGCTCCCAATGACCACCAATCACATTCAATTCCATATCCTTTTTTCAACAAAACCTCTGGTGCCATGTAATCAAGAGTTCCAACGGTAGAATATGCCTACAGAAGATATTTCACACATAGGTTAATTGAATTAAATAATGACTGGATTAATCGATTTGAAAGGAGCAAAATGAAAGAATGTTAATTTTGCAAGCTGACACAATTATAACTTGAAAATCAGGAAAAGTGCAGCACTAGAATGTGAGTACGTGAATACCAAGGCACGGCGGTTGCGCTTCCACTGCTGTATTTGTTCCTTTGGCATTGGCCATGAAGCTCTATCACCACCAGAATTCCCTTCAGTCCCGTTAATGGACTCCGCATTAGTAAGGTCTTCATCTTCCAACAATATTGATGAGTATTTATTTTCCAGGGGTTTACATAAGCCAAAATCTGAAAGCTTTAAATGGCCATTTCTATCCAGTATAAGGTTATCCGGTTTTATGTCCCTGAAAGCAAAAAAAATTCTGAATCAGCGGCATGTTGGAGGATGATTGTGGAGTGACCTTTATACTGTATGCACATGCAAAAGAACAGATAGCAAACAAAAAACTGTAGCACCAAATTGCAAGATCAAGACATTTAAATCAAATATGATAATGTTTGCTTGATCATTGATTCCTGACATCCCTAAAGAAAATGAAGACAGGACAAAAGTCCTCAAAGGCTACTTAAGGGAAACTAAACAACTCGCAACAATCAGAGTACAGTCAAATAAATACATATATTAATCTGGAGATTGAAAGTTGTCATTTTTCAACTAATGAAAAAAATTGTACTACACTAAGCTTTCTCAGCAACCCCTTGAGTTAAAGAACGAGAATAGCGGAAGAGGAAATGTAAGGCTGTTCTAACTGCAGGTGCTACTTCCAAGCTGGGGTGTCTGAACACACCTTAAAACGTCACTTTAACATAAGTGCCATAGTAGGAGAAATGCTTTTGAAAATTAGAAGCTTATTTAGACATCTCCACTTGATGATATTTGGAAAAAGAAAATTCTATATCAACAGTAGCATGGCGCTTTTCTGACAATAGTAATTAATACATTATCATTTTAACCAAAAAAAATAAAAAATTAACACATTATCATTTTATTTGACCTACAAAAAGTACCTATGTATTACTGGCACTCCTATAGGATATAGCAATACAATCACGTAACATGCAAGATTTAACAATAAAGCAAACTATTTAATGCATTGTTCAAATACCTATGTACATAATTGTGCTGATGAATAGACTGAATAGCCAAAATACTCTCAGCAATATAGAACCGTGCGACATCTTCAGAAAGAACATCTTCTCTCATAAGTAAGGTCATAATGTCACCACCAGGTAAATATTCCATTATCAGGTACAAGAAATCTGAGTCTTGGAAAGAATAAAAGAGCTTCACTATGCACCGACTATCAACTTCCACAAGCAAATTCCTCTCAGATCTGACATGCTCAACCTAAAATTGCAGTATAACTTTCATAAATTAAAAAAATGAACATAGTAATTTACACATAGAATTTAACCATGGAACTCACAATTGGCCTTTGGTCCAACTAAGTGGCAACTGATAATTGCTGATGAGCACAAGATATTCATAAACCCTAAGAGAAGAAAACAGTCTCTAACTTGTTACCTGTCCACGGCTAAGCATGTCTGATTTCTTCAATTTCTTCATGGCAAAGATTTCTCCAGTACTTTTGAATCTACACAACCTAACCTGCATTAACGAACTGGATAACTTAAGAAATCACTCTACTGAAATCTGCTCCATCAATGTCCAATACGAACATTGACTGTGTCATGTATGTGGCTATCAAAAGGCAAGAGCACTCTAATTGAAAATAGAACTTTTTAAATATGTAAAGTGCACATTTGACACAAGCATGGTTCTTCTTCGTTTGACATTAAGCTTAAAGGAAAAGACCGACTTCCACCCCTTCACAAACTTTGCAATGTAAGGGAGAAACATATAAAGCTTATAATAAACCAGAGACCATTGCTGAAAAAGCGACATTCAAGTGCTAAAATAAGTGGCTGATGCAGTATAAATATTAGATTGAAAAAAATAGGTTCTCATAGCAAATATTTCCCAATTGGTAGCATCAAGAAACATTGGAAGATAAGCACTATGAGCAGGACTAACACTTCTCTGCTACATTATCAAAGTGTAAGCCTTGAAAAAACATACTACCAAGAAATGTTTGATGCAGATTTTACAGAGGATAACTCCATGATTCTCATTTTACCAGAAAAATGATCTATTTTAATCCATTAAAATTCAGGCAAAAGCATTCTTTTGCATTCAAAAACGATACAACCTTAAAAGTTGAATATTCAGTATCAAGATGTACAACTAATAGAATCATCTTATTAAATCACGAAACTGCCAAGTTAACTTTTTAAAGGTAATTTGGTGAGAAAACTTACAAAGATACAAACTTTAGCCTCAATAATCATTTATAGAAAAACCAATGCATACTCTAAGTAACTCTAATCAAACAAGATCAGAATCAAGCCACTTTTAAAGTAAAATCCAAGAATTGGGAGTTGTAAAAAAAAAAAATTTACCTCACCAAAGGCACCTCTACCAATGACAGTCAACTGTTCAAAATCATCAATCCCAACTTTATGCCTTTGCAATCTCATAAACTCAGTCTCCCTCTTCTCCAAATTCCTTAACATCTTCTCTTGCTCCTCACTCGGTATCTGCGCTTCTTGTGCCCTCCTCTGCAGTGTCCATCGCCTGAAAATAAAAAATAAAAAAAGGGGTCAAACAAAAGCAACAAAAGACACATTTTGTAAACTGTGGCACGTAAATTGTTAAAAAAAAAAGAACCTTTCTTTACGATCTTGCAAGCCTTGAAGATAATTCTTGTAATGATTTTCAATGAATTGCTTAGCAGCAGCAGCTTTCTGACGTGTAACAGGTGAAGAAACAGTGAATTCAGGCTCCAAATTATTGAAAACTCGATCAGGCTTATTCATGGGTAAAGCTCCCATTTTTACAGTACCATCAGCAGCAGTAGTAGTACCCTCCATTGATTTAATAAAAAAATCAAGATTTACCCCAGATCCAAAATAGAAGGACAAAAAAACTAGACCCAAGCAAAAAGAAAGCCAAATGATTGGTGGGTTTCTTGTATAAGTTTCATAGTAGTAGTAGAACAAGAATGGTGTCAGACAGTTATATAAAGTTGGGTTTTTTGGGGGTGGTGGGGGTAAAAGAAAGGAAGATATAATGAAATGGAAAGCTGTCAGTGTCAGCAGGTGATGTATGTATAGGAGTTAAAGAGTTGTGTTTTGTGAAAATCCCAATGAGAGATCAGAGAGAATTGGTGGGCTATGAACTGGCGATACAAGGAAGGAAAGAAGAAAGAAAAGAGGGGGAGGGTTATGAGCAGAGGCTTAGCTGTTAAAGGGGATTGGGTTAGATGAGATTTGTTGGGAATGAAAAAAGTGATAGAGACGGCAATGATAAAAGTTCTCTAGTACAGTAGTGTTACAACCTCGGATGAATGAGTCTTTCTTTCATTCCGCTTCAACATATGAGTCACGTTGATTCAAGAAAGTCACTATCGAGGTTGTAGCATGACCGATACTATCGCCTTTAAAGAGAGGTCTTGATAGGAAATTCTTTTCCGTAAACCTTACATACACCAACTAAATTAGTCGGGACTCTAGAGTGGATACCTAACATCATGTACAATAACAACAAAAAACTAAGTGTGAATCTTCCAAACCTGGCATATACGAAAAGTTGAAATAGGTCTCTTTTTTTGCTATACCGTCTACTGAAGAGATGACCCAACACCGCCTCCAGGGGGACCCGTCATGCGACACTGATGAAGATGATGGTAACACCGGCAACTGGCATTCAATAGAGGAGAATTTCACTTGACGTTTGGCAGCTTTCTCCCTTCGAAATTCCAATCAATTGAGGAGGAGAATGAAATTGAGGCGGAGCTTGAGATTAACAAACAGAATTCTCCTTTTAGGGGAGGTAAGAACGAGCAAGTGAAGAAGGGAATCCATGCACCTCGCCAACTGCAGTTCTCTAAAATTGATACTGCTACACATCCACCACCTATGGAGGTGAGGGATAAAATTGAGACAAATGAGAGCCATGTCAATAAATCGTGGATTGCAAATGAGGAAACCTCTGTTCCTCTATCGATGAGGGATGGTAAGCTGGTGATTAAGATTATAGCAAAAGACATCAGATATCAGGAGGAATTCTGGAATTCAGCCCTGATTGGATATGTACTTGGTGATACACCATATACTCGATCAATGGACAACTATGTAACAACGGTATGGAACTTTGTCACAAAGTCTAAAATATTATATCATGATGAAGGGTACTATATCTTCAAATTCTATACGATAGAGGATAGAGGTATAGTTATGCATACTGGCCCATACACATACCACAATAAACCTTTCATATTGAAGAATAGGGAAATAAATTTCTACTTTGATCCGGAGTGCCTTAGCACCATTCCACTGTGGGTTAAGTTTCCAGGTCTACCAATGGGCTATTGGTCCCCTGAAGCTTTAAGCAAACTGGCTAGTGGAGTAAGAAAATCATTGTATACAGACATATTCACTGCAGAATTGGAGAAGATCTCATATGCTCGAGTATTGGTTGAAACAGATGTCTCTCAGCCCATATCGGAGTGTATTAAAATCTATACATCCTTTGGTGTCTTTTAACAACAGGTGGCATATGATTGGAGACTAAAGTTTTGTGTAGAATGTATAAAATTTGGCCATAATTCAGATAATTACAGAAGAAAACTTAAGAGACTAAGGAAGAACCTTACCAGGAAGTGGCTAAGAGGAAAAGAAGAAGAAATAGAAAGAAGGGACTAGTCTGGCAAGCAAAGGTGCCAGGCAATGATCAGGAAAAATAGCTGAGAGGATCTGATTCTAGGACTACCCAGCTTGAGGCACATCAACATGTTTCCTTGCCTGCAAAAGAAGCTTTTCCTTAACAGTAGAATGAGTTAAGGCAGAATAGCAAAGGGATAAAAGGCAAAACCATAGTTGCTCAAGATACCACACATAGAGATCCTAATAGCAGAATGCCAACACATTTACTTCTCTAAGGCCATCTCCAACCTTTCCCTATTTTCCCATAATGGGGCAACTTTTAAGGGTAATGAAGCTCCAACCCTCCCTCATTTTTGCCCCCAAAATGGGAGATGAATAGTGTTCCCTCAAATATGGGGGTACACAATTCATCTCTCCCATTACTGTTCATGTATATTTTATTATTTAACTCTTTTAATTTATCTCTTTATATATACCTAATTATATTTATGTAATATCTTTATAATATTAATTTTACATCCTAACTTTGGCGTATAATTTTGATGAATTAATTTTCGTGCATTTATTATTTTTATGTAAAATTGTAAGTTAATTTTATTATAAGTTATAATTGTACAAAAAATATATAATCATCTCAAAAAATGAATGGCTCGAATATAAAATATTAGATGTTGCTAAAATTAAAAAGTAAAAATTGAAAATACATTAAAATTGGAAATACATGAAAATCGAAAATACATTAAATTAAAATGCATTAAAATTGAAACAACGGTAAATAGCATAATAACTTAGTAGGGAGATATGTCATTTCCAGATACACCAAAATCATTATAGTATTAAATTAAATAATATTATTTAAAATTTTATGGAATTGTTTTAATGAAAATTACAAATTAATGAAAATAAAAGATGGAACTTGTTTAATGAAATTAAAAAGTAAATTGAAATGAAAGATAATAATATAATATAGAAGAGAGAGAAAAATATAGAAAAGAATATTTTCTTTTGACGGAAAAATGAGGGAATGATTGGAGTAAGTTGTCCCTAAAATGGAAAAATTCCCATTATAAAAACCAAAAATGAAATAAAGGTCGGAGATGTCCTAAGAATTGAAAAGCCTAGCACTACAGGGAGGAGGGCTTGTATGTGTACATAGGATGGCAGATCCTCCATAGTTGTGTGCACTTGGAATATTAAAGGGTTAGAACAAGCTCTCAAAGCAAAAGAGTTGAAGCTCTTTATGCCGAGACATAAAATGGACATCATGGATTGTGTGAAAACTAGAGATGGACTCAAGGGGTTAGATCTTAATATGACTCATTTAATATATATATATTTTTTTAATAGGAGTGTTGAAGTGTGTGGGATTGTTAAGAGCGTCTCATGCGGTGGAAAAATTAAGCTATTGTCTCCTTCTTTTTGGGCGTGCGTATTTTAGAATATCTCGTATTATTTAACATAGTGAGCCATTGTATTTTTATATGATCTTGAAAAATATTCAATTTATGAGTTACTTTTTAGAGTTGAATTAAATTCGATCCATCTTTTTATAACTGAAATTATTCCTTTTGCGATAACTGATAATTAGGCCCTATTCTTATATACGTATATACATGTATTATATAAAACCTATCCGCTTATAATATTTGTACCAAATTATTAAATGCTTTTGATGTTTGATTTACCATGTCCAAATGCGGATAAGTAATTTATCATATGATACATATATACACACACCGATATACCTCTCCATACGGACTCTTTTTCCTTACGTGAATTGGCTAAATTAGGAAAGCTTAGAGTTTTGATTGTGATGTATTGTCATATTTATATATTTTCTGTTATCCAGCTTCCGTGCTTCAACTTTGCTTTTCTATTATATCTGTAACGTACGTGGCTTGTATTGCCAACTTGTATTTCTTTAGTTTTATAATTTGACTGTGATTTTGATGCTTTAAAATTATAAATTAATGGATAGATTAATTATTGTTTGCTAGAAAAAGGCTAAATATAAGGATCACAAATAACAAGAAATGAATTTCTAGAAACCATTCATTTTTTACTTTTAAAATACAATTGGAGGGTGTCAATTGTATACTGTTTACAAAAACAACTCAGATTTGAATACTCAAAACTTTTGTCTTGCCAGTTCTTCACCTGACAAAAACAACTCGGGATTGAATTTTCAGGCTTTTACAAATGAAAATAAAAACTTTGATACTGTGTACGGTAGAAATCGGGCTACCCGATTTCATTCTTTGGTCGACATAGGAATGTCACCTCAAAGAGCTAGGACGTCGAGTCCGGACCGAGGTCAACATCGATTGCGGCCAAAAAAAGACAGACTTCGAGTGACATCGGTATAGCTTGATAACGAAAAAGGCGAGATATCCTCAATTGGTCGAGGATCGTGGCGTGAATCTCGGAACGGATCAATCTACAGCGGTTAATCAGATGATAATATGGTTTCCTACTATAATTAGAAGTGTACCTTATTTAGGACTCCTCTATTATATAAAGAGAGACCCCATTCATTTGTAAGCATCATCATTGTTCACTGATAAGAATATATACATTCATTACTTTCCTGCTGTTTCACTTACTGTTCATCAGAGTTGCTTTATCATTTACTATTCTTACTATCTCACCTCGAGACTATCCCAAGTCGAGGTCGAGACCTGGCTAGCATACTGGTTTGATTTATTTTATTCTCTAATTTATTCATTTATTTTCTTGCTTATTAATTAGTATTGGATGAAATTACATATCCTTAAAACCACAATATAAGTTTAATTGTTATCCGAATTTGAGGGTAAACCATTTGGCTCCCACCGTGGGGCTAAGGATAATAGTGATTGTTCGGTGCTGATTCCGATAACACACATTATTTTACGCTTGTTCTTGTCAAGTATCTTTGCTCTCAGGTTAAAACATGTCAAACTCACAAAACGCACCCACACATGGTGACGATGGTCTCGAGTTTCATGGGGAAAACGTCAATGTAATTGCCCTAGGAGCCGAGATGCCACAAGCTAATCTCAGGGGAGCACCTGTTGCCAATCTAGTCGATGTCAGTTCGCACGTTGCTTTAAATTCGGACCTACGCGCAGACCCCGAAGGGAGTGTCCGCAAAGAAGGCCAATCTGGTGGCCAAGATACACAAGGCAGAGGAGACGGATGAGTTAGTCTCCAAGTGATATTCGAGATGCTACAAGCTCAGCAGGCCGCTATTGCTCAGCTACAAAATCAACATTGAACTCTGAGTAGGGTCAAGCTAGAAATCACTCGCCGTACCGTGCCAGTGCCAGAGAGGTCGAATGGTAACGAATCGGGGACTGATCCTGCAATAATGAAAATGCCCGAGGAGCTCACCAAGAGAATTGAGTCAGGAGAGAAGAAATTCAAAGCTAATGATAAAAAAATGGAAACATACAACTCCCGAGTAGATAAGATATCGGGGGCACCACCAATCTTGAAAAGGATGGATTCAAAGAAATTTGTACAAAAGTCGTTCCCTTCGAGTGCGACTCTGAAACCCATTCCAAAGAAGTTTCATATGCTGGACATACCTAAATACAATGAGACCACCGATCC